CATAAAAAGAATTTTACCTTGTGACGATCATATGATTCATGCATTTATATAGCAATTCAATTCTTGGTTTAACGTTGTTATTTATTACAGAGTCTAACGTTACTATTTCCTTATTAGTTTCTTCGGAGTTAGAGATTAGAATTTCATTTAGTGATGTTGGAAACTTTGATTAAAATTATCAGTTTCCCTAATTTGGATTGGGAAAATGCACGGATGATCTTTTCTTATTTTTTGAATCAAGACAGTTTATAAGATTATTTGAAGTATCGCACTCCATATAGTTAGTATTCAAAAAATGGATGTAGTTTCAAGATACTTAAAATATTTTGTTTCTGGTATGACATTTCTTGGTTCAATTCAATGTAATCTTTTGTACCTTTCAGATTATCCAGATGGATCCAGGGAATACGTATGAGTGTAAAATTTCTGTTTTTTATTTTATTTATTTTTTTTTTTTTAATTAATTTTTAATTTTCTGTTAAAAAAACAAAAAACAAACAAGGTCCCAAACCCATCAGATTATGGGATTACAAGATACGAGGATGTTGAATTAACCACACAAGATAAAGTAAAAATTCGAATATATGTTTTACAACAAGTTAATGAGCATAAAGCTCTTCAACGGCCTACTGTTTTAACTTTTCATGTTTGTATTAATTATTTACTTTTGACTCTAACTGCTTTTATTAGAATATAATTCATTTTATTTTATTTTATTTTTCAGGGAAATGCGGGAAACGTTGTACTATATCTATATTATCATTAATATCAAGAATAGTTATCTACGATGAATCATAAACTTTAACCAATCATCATTACATTTAAAATAAAGGGTCATTGTATACCAGTTGCTGAACGATTTTATAATGATTTTAAATGTAATGTTGTGATGTTGTCTTATAGAGGGTAAGAATATTATCAATGGTTAAATATTCATATTTCATGATTTTATTTTTAACATTCAAAAAACTATTGAAGGTATGGTCGTAGTGAAGGAACCCCATCAGAGAAAGGACTCAAAATTGATGCACAGGTAAGAAAAGCAAACCTCTTTTAAGATGGATATTCTCTCATAAATAAATAACACATCTACAGGTCTTTAAAGGTTATAATAATATCTAATTTATTTGTTTAGACTACATTGGATTACGTTTGTAACCACCGTATATTTAAGCGTACAAATATTATTGTATATGGTCAATCGCTTGGCGGTGCTGTGGCAATTGATCTAGTTTCGAAAAACGATGATAAGGTTTTTTTTTAGTTTATTTATTTTAAATAACCTTTTTTCAAAATAATTCCAATACCTTTTCCAATTTTAGGTGGCTGGTATAATAGTCGAAAACACTTTCCTGAGCATTGTAAATATTCATTATTTACTAATACACAACAATTTGTCTCTCAAATACTAATAATATACTAAAAATATATATATATTTCTGGATAACTCAAATTATAGCCAAAATTAATACCACATGTAGTTCCTCAGCTTCGTCACTTCTCGTTTTTATGTACGCAAAAATGGGAATCCGAAAAAGCTATAAAACTTATAAAAAATGTTCCAATTTTATTTCTTTCTGGAACTGAAGATGAACTTATTCCAAAAGAGCATACGAAGAAATTGTATGATTTGGTGGAAGGAAGTAGAAAAGAGCTTCGAGAGTTTCCGAATGGTAAGCATGGAGATACTGTCGCTCAATTGGGTTATTTTGAAGCTATTTGGGCATTCTTGTTAAGAGAGAGATTAGCTACTATTGATTTTGATTGGGATTCGGGTAATTTCTAATTAGTAAAGGAACAATACATTTAATATTAATATATAATAAAAAAAATACTTTTACAAATTTAAAATATTTGAGACAAATAATTTGCTTTTTTTTTTTGAACACATAAATGGGTGCCTTAATTTCTCCCTCAACTTCACTATCGGAGTACATAACATTTGATTAATAATATAAATACTCCGC